TTATCTGTCTTAAAGATCAAAGGCTGCTTCTAATTATGGTTTAATCCACCATTTTCTACATTAGGAAATGCCTGTACCAAGTCAGGAATATGACAGTTGTTTTCCGTTCGTTTGATGTGTTTGAGCTTTTGATTGTGCCATTTTATAAAGGACTTCCCGTTTTAAATTTCCCTTGGAGTTTGGTAAGTTTACTTTTTGCAAGGTCAAATCAATCAAGAAGTGTAATTCTAATTATCTTATATAATGACTCAATGCCTTTCATTAATTTTGAATTGTTTAGCTTTTCTTATGTTAACAGAATGGTAACAGTACTGTTATTTTGCTTAGATACGAGACAGAATGCTGTAAATGTATACTGAATTATTGTACAAAACGCATCTAGAAAATGACAATGATGGTCGGTTGAGAACAAAACTTAACGACAAAAGAGATGATTTCAGCTTCCCAAATGTGAACTTTCCATTTCTATGTAGCAACATTTAAGCAGCGCCTCCATTTTGAGTATATATCTCCTAGTTGATACTATATCCCAGAGCTTGTTTCCTTGATAGACAATTGCTCTCACAAGGAAGCTATCAAACAAAGAGTTCCAATTGGTGAAGTTAAAATCATCCCTTCGTAAGTTTTACGGTAGCCATCACTGGAATATCTGTTTCACAGATGACGACGGATATTTTCCAATCGTCGTAACCACAATCCCATCCTCCGTTTTGTACCAAGTCAGGGATATGACAGTTGTTTTTCATTCGAGGTGTGTTCGAGCTTTTAATTTTGCCATTTGATAAGGGACTTTCCATTTTTAGATTTTGTCGAGCCTGCGACTTTTGTCGCAGAAAGCTCGACATAGGGATAGTGATCCGGCGGCGGCGTTAACTAACTTCTTAAAAGCTTTATATTTTGGAAGGTGGAAGACCTGGATGCTTCATACTTTGCATATAGATGCCTTATGTTACGAAGTTTCCGTCTGTCTCATGTCCATTGTCCTTGGCCTCATTTTCATGGTCCAGTGACTACTTGAAAAAAAAGTTAAGATTTTTTGTAATGTTAATTTCTCTCTTATTATGAGAAACGGGATAACTATATTTGGTATGTGCGTACCTTGCAAGATCCTCATGCCCGTCAAACAGTTTTCACTTGACCTCGACCTCATTTCATGGATCAGTGAACAAGGTTAAGTTTTCGTGGTCAAGTCCATATCTCAGATACTTTAAGCAATAGGTCTAGTATAGTTGGTGTATAGAAGGATTGTAAGGTGTACATGTCCAACTGGCAGGTGTCATCTCATCTGACCTTGACCTCATTTTCATGGTTCAGTAGTCAGTTAAGTTTTTGAGTTTTGGTATTTTTTTCTATTATTACTATATGCAATAGGTCAACTATATTTGGTGTATGGAAATATTTCACGATGCACATGTCAGTCCCGCAGGCTTTATTTGACCTTGACCTCATTTTCACGGTCCATTGCTCAGTGTTAAGGTTTTGTGTTTTGGTCTGTTTTTCTTAAACTATAAGTAATATGTCAACTATATTTTTTGTATAGAAGGATTGTTAGCTGTATATGTCTGTCTGGCAGGTATCATCTGACCTTGACCTCATTTTGTTGGTTCATTAGTCGATGTTAAGTTTTCATGGTTAAGTTTGTTTCTTAGATACTATAAGCAATAGGTCAACTATATTTATTGCATAGGTTGATTGTAAGGTGTACATGTCTGCCTGGCATGGTTCATCTGACCTTGACCTCATTTTCATGGTTCATTGGTCAATGTTTAGTTTTCTTGGTTAAGTCTGATTTTTAGAAACTACAAGCAATAGGTCAACTATATTTAGTGTATTGAATGATTGTAAGGTTGATAGTTGTAGTAAAGCTTTATATTTAGGACTATCAACATAATATCAATGGTTAGTAAAGAAGGCGAGATATTTCAGCATGTGCACTCTTGTTTGTTTTATGTGTTTTGTATACTGTTGTTTGTCTTTTGGTGTTTGTCTTTTTTTTTTGTCACAGCGTTGTCAGTTTATTTTCGACTTATGAGTTTCAATGTCCGATTGGTAGTTTTTGCCTCTCTTTCCGAAATCCATATTATACATACACTCGCTTTTCTCGCAATGAATATAGTAGTTTTCATTAGATCAATGGTTTATTTGTTCTGTTATGAATGTAATATTAAACTTTAACAGAATGCGCTGGGGCAAAAGTATCCAGTCAATTAAAAGAAAAAGGGCGAACAATGATACTGTTTTATTATTATTTATTGGTGCTAAACGCCACCTTCAGCTACTTTGGCTATACCATAAAGGCCAGTTTTTTATCAGTGTTTTATCTAGATATATAAGCTAAGTCTGACTCAAAACTTACCTAAATCGCTTACCCTTTCAGGTCGCCAGAGATTATCTCTTAGTTTTGTTTAGAAGACAGCTTTTATTTTGTGTTGTTCCTTGTTTGTGATGTTTATACCGATGACAGTCTGATCTTTTTTTTGTCATGAAAACTTGTTTCAAATTCAAAATCTCAGTCCGTCAAGTTTTAGGGTTAGATTGATTGATTGTTGGTTGCTTAACGTAGGGTTAAAAAATTACATAACCTATGGTTTAAGAATTTGGTGGTGTCATAGGGTTAGATAAGAGTCCATTACAAGTCTGCTATTCTTTGTCTTAAATAAATTCATTAAATTTGAGTCTGCAGAAGTGAGTTGATCAATGTGAGAAGATGAAAATAACAAAATCTACGTTCAAGTTTGGTTTCCATTAAAAATATGTGTAATAACAAAATCCAAGTCGAACACAAGTTAACATATTAGTTTTGGGTAGATTTCTTTTATTAGTTGTTACTGGCTTTGAACTAGCTGTCCGTAACTGCGAGTACTCTCAGATCTGTACGTTGTGTCTTTTTTTTTTGTTAGGGATGTATAAATACCCTGCCATGTCTGTGTTTTTTTTAAATGCTTTTCAGCTTTGTATCAATCTAATGAGTTAAGCCATTTTCAACTGATTTTTATGGCTTTTTCTCATGTTGTACTGTAACACCAGTGTCCCAGGTTAGGGGAGGATTGAGTGCTCACAAAGAATGCCAGACAGATAATTTAACTTATCATACATTTTTTTTTTCAAATTGTCTGCTGTTACTATATATCACAGACAATCCAGCACAAATTAAAGTTAGAAATTTTGAAATCATTTGTTCATTTAAAATCATAAACAACCTTGCTTGCTCTTTGGCTTGAGATATTATTTGTGGTAGGATCTCAATTGAACAAATGCTGCAGTATCCTAAACTAGCAGTCAAGTATATTGTATACTGTGATTATTCAAGCTGAATTTTCAAATGTGTGGAGCATTTTTACTTATGCAATAACATGGTAGTCACATGTTTACTTTTTTAACATGATAACTGTGATTCTATGTCACAAAGTTTGACTGAGTTGACTTGAAAAAATAATACCAGACATTCGTTTTTCACCGTTAAAATACGCTATTTGACACATGCTAATAAGTGTTTATAAATTTCTTACAAGCAACTATTCCAATGATTCAGAAGGGCTTGAAAAACAAAAAAAGATTTTTTGTAAAGGTTACTTGTTTCTTTTTATTCTTATATGTATTTCAAAACATCAAAAACATGTTAAAATATGTCCATTTCAATCAAGTTTTGACAAATTGCACAACAAAATGCAAAATTTAATTTCAAAATTTACTGAGTAAAAAAAAAATCTTCAAAATGTCTGTGGTAATAAATGAAATACATAAGAAAAATTGCATACCTTAACTTTAAATAATTTATCCTATTCTTACTGAACCCATTGCAGCATTATTCTAATAAATTGCTTCGCTGAGCACAGCTGGATACGACCGCAGAGGTCCAACCCTGAACAGTTGGGGCAAAAATGGACACAATATTCACACTTGATACAGATCTGAATTTGGATTGTTATTAAATATTTGACACATAATAGGTTTCTGACACAGAATAACTGTAGTCAAAGAACTTAGAATTGGTTATATGATTTGAATTTATATTCAATTTTTTTGCTTTTGTGCAATACACTATGCTGTTGCGAATTGAATTGAACCCCCCCCCCCCCCCCCCCCACCAAAAAAAAAAAAAAATTAAACCCCCCCTTTTTTTTTGCCAAAAAAAAATATTTGAAGAAATTTTCTTTTTAATTTCTGAAATCTGAAATGAGAAAAAATTGTCCCACCCCTCACAATTTCATTTTTAACCCCCCCCCCCCCCCCCATTTTTTTAAAAATGGAGTTAGCAACCATAATTACCCATTAAAATACATCATAAAAGTCTTAAAATAGAAAATGACATTCATAATCATGGCTAAAATTAATATTCCTTAATCAGCATTTTTAAATAGTAACTTCTAAAAATAAATTGAAAGCTAATCACCTCAAAACAATACAACATTTCTTTATACATAATTTAAAAGCAGTGTAGGGAGGTAATCCAAACGTAACATTGTACATTTTTTTTAATTGTCCATTAACCAGGAAACCATTGTTTTCCCCCTTTTTTGTCCCTAATTCCTAAACGGTTTGAGCCATAAACCCCCAAAGCCAATCCTAACCATCCCTTTGTGGTATAATTTTAGAGAGATCCATACACCCTTCCACAAGTTATTGTCTTGAAACTAGAAAAATGCTTATTTGGGCCCCTTTTTGGCCCCCAATTCCTAAACTGTTAGGACTATAACCCCCAAAATCAATCCCAAACTTCCTTTTGTGATTATAAACCTTGTGTTTAAATTTCATAGATTTCTATTTACATTTACTAAAGTTACTGTCCTGAAACCAAATGTCTTCGCATTACGCTGATGACGACGTGATACCAAAATTTTTTGCGGTCGTATAAAAACATATACTTACAATTTAATGTCACATTATCCAATATTTAAATGTGATGGACAGAAGCCTAACAGTAACATGATAGCATGAATAGTTAAGCTGGACTGACCTTTTGTGAATTTTTCTGAGCATATTTTGAAATTCACCTAAAGTTTCATATTCTGGACCAATATTATTGCAGATAATTAACCAATAACTGGTAATGAATTTTGATACAAGAACTGGGATGTTGCAAAAAAAAAGTATAAGTCAGTTTCGAATGGATGACATTGGGTAGAAATTAAACTAAGGCCAAACAATTTTTTTGAAAAACTACCTTGTGTAATTATGTGAATAAAAAAAAACAAAGGGTAATAGAACAAAGGTCCTCTTTTCAAGCAGATATGAAATTTCTTATCACATCAATCAGATAAAATTTCAATACAATTAATACTCAACTGCATTAAAACACTATATCATAACTTCTTAAAAATGAATAAAAAAGATGGATGCCATGCTTGACCAGGCAACATCACTGGGGCAATAGACATAGACACATACCAAAATAAATTTGGTTGAATAAAAATTAGCCAATAAAATCCTGTTATTGACTACAATAGTATACAATAAAACTACTTGCTTTCAGCACTTACTACTACATAAATACAAAATTATGGACTAGAAAAAAAATCCTTGGTTTATATCAAATAAATGTGCAAAACTTGTATTTATTTTCCAGTCAACTCATGCTCTGATTGGCTTAAGTTATTATACAGTGTTTAAAAATGTCATTGGAAAGTCTTTTTTGTAGCTTTTGTATTACCTATTAAAATTAAAATTTGAATATAAAATAATCAGAAAGTTAAATCAGAAATCGACTTCATTATTTCATATCATGAAAATAAATACAAGATTATACACCATAAAAGCATTATATGTTCTTGTAAGCGTATTCATACACACTTTTATCACTCATTCACACATAAAAATGTAATATTTACAATACATGGTCATTCACATGCAGATTTTTGTGCTAAATATCATTGGTTTTGTACATCACAAGAAATGCATCAATAAAATATTGCATGAAAATGAAAACAAAGTCAACAAATTACATTCCTATTATTATGTAAACAATTTGATGAGGCAATAAAAGACTATACTTTTGGTCAATATTACTGACAAGTCATAAAAATTTATCTAATGATCTTGTACTTTTCGTAGTGTTCCCAAATTCAGCACTAGCAAGAATGTGTCCATACTACATGGATGCCCCACTGGCATTATAATTTTCAATGTTCAGTGGATTGTGAAATTGAGGTCAAAACTCTAATTTGGCATTATAATTAGAAAGATCATATCATAAGGAACATGTGTACTGAGTTTTAAGTTGATTGGACTTCAACTTCATAAAAAACTTTAACCTGAAGTGGGGCAGACGGACAAACGGACAGACGAACGGACACACAAACCGAAAAACATAATGCCCCTCTACTATCGTAGGTGGGGCATAAAAATCATTCAGTACATGTTGGACTGTACAACATTTTTGTAGATACTACACTGTTGTTTGACAAAAAAATCTAAAAATGCCCAGAGCTTAATGCATTACTACTATATGCAGATTTTACCATAGATATTTTGGTGTATAATCTTGATTAGTAGAAAAGTTATGCATTCTATCATGAGATCTTTTACCAGCAAGTTGGACTCTCAGTATCCCTACTCTAATGCTTGAGCCAAAATAGTTCCTACACATTTAGCAGTAACATTCAAAATATGTCAAGTATTTTGGTAAATTTGGTATGAAATTAAAGCTTTAGGATCTTAGATCACTATTCATCCCTTGTTAAATGTTTTTATTTGCAAAACACTTATATAAATTTGAAAAAGAAGGGCATCATTAGCACGTTTTTCAAATCAGAACTTCAGAAGTATCTGTTGGTACTGCCAAACTTCCAGTGCACTCTTATACATGTTATATGCAAATAATGGCAATTATGTCGTATTTTCCAGCACAAGCCAGGCTAAGGCATTATTGTTTTGACATCCAAAGACTTATTTTAATTTACGACAATATGGCTATGAATAGTGGAAATTGCTGATTTAACGTGCATAGATTCAATGGAGCTAGGAATCATTGGGTTTATACCTTTAGGGTTTTTTTCCTTCATGAGAGACAGAAAACAGACTGTTCCATTTCAAACTAATCTGGGCTTTTCTATAACTTGATTATTTGAATTTATTCTGTAGGCCATTTGTTAACCTGATATCCTGTAGGCCATTTTTTTCCACCCGATTAGATTTCATTTGCTCTTAACTTGGAGATGGACAAGTTGAAATTGTCATTTATCAAAACAATACTTTAACAGAATTAATTATGTTTTGAACATCTTTATGTATTTTTACATTAATTTTATCTTTCTTTTAAATTAGAAAACCAGTTTACAAATCTTAAATAAGAATTTGGTGACCTACATTACATTGTAGCATTTGTGATAATACCTAAACGTTTTATTTCTTTCTTTTTTTAGTAAAACAGTGAGATTGAAAATGGCAATTGACTATATAAGTACCTATTGAGACAATTACACACAGTATTATGCATATAATTACATTTTTCTGACTGTAAAGTCAACGACACAAACATACATGTATAATACTGTCCAATATCATTCACAAAAACAAATCTGTATCCTCGACTTCACTTCAGTTGTTTTGTTTAGTATCACAGTATATATAAAGAGACTGGTAATTTTTTGTAAAAACTTCACTGATTAAATACCAATGTAATAACAAGAGTGCACACGCTGAAATGTCTCGCCTTCTTTACTAATCATTGATATTATGTTGATAGTCCTAAATATAAAGCTTTATTACAACTGTCACATAAACTTAACATTAACCAAGTAAACTAAACATTGACCAATGAACCATGAAAATGAGGTCAAGGTCAGATGAACCATGCTAGGCAGGCATGTACAGCTAACAATTCTTCCATACAACAAATATAGTTGACCTATTGCTTATAGTTTAAGAAAAACAAACGAAAACACAAAAACTTAACACTGAGCAATGAACCTTGAAAATGAGGTCAAGGTCAAATAAAACCTGCGTGACTGACATATAGATCATAAAATATTTCCATACACCAAATATAGTTGAACTATTGCATATAGTATTAGAAAAAAAGACCAAAACTCAAAAACTTAACTTTGACCACTGAACCATGAAAATGAGGTCAAGGTAAGATGACACCTGCCAGCTAGACATGTACACCTTACAATCATTCCATACACCAAATATAGCTGACCTATTGCATGCAGTATTAGAAAGAAAGACCAAAACTCAAAAACTTAACTTTGACCACTGAACCATGAAAATGAGGTCAAGGTCAGATGACACCTGCTAGCTAGACATGTACACCTTACAATCATTCCATACACCAAATATAGTAGACCTATTGCATACAGTATAAGAAAAACAGACCAAAACACAAAAACTTAACTATAACCACTGAACCATGAAAATGAGGTCAAGGTCAGATGACACCTGCCAGTTGGACATGTACACCTTACAGTCCTTCCATACACCGAATATACTAGACCTATTGCTTATAGTATCTGAGATATGGACTTGACCACGAAAACTTAACCTTGTTCACTGATCCATGAAATGAGGTCGAGGTCAAGTGAAAACTGTCTGACGGGGATGAGGACCTTGCAAGGTACGCACATACCAAATATAGTTATCCTATTACTTATAATAAGAGAGAATTTAACATTACAAAAAATCTGAACTTTTTTTTCAAGTAGTCACTGAACCATGAAAATGAGGTCAAGGACATTGGACATGTGACTGACGGAAACTTCGTAACATGAGGCATCCATATACAAAGTATGAAGCATCCAGGTCTTCCATCTTCTAAAATATAAAGCTTTTAAGAAGTTAGCTAACGCCGCCGCCGCCGCCGTAGCCGCCGCCGCCGCCGCCGCCGGATCGCTATCCCTATGTCGAGCTTTCTGCGACAAAAGTCGCAGGCTCGACAAAAACCTTCATTGGCATGCAAGAAAAATTACTCCCATGTATCATACAGATAAAAAACAGAAAGGAACAATTCTAAATTTATCTTGCTTATAAAAGGAGATCAGCTCTTTAAAATATAGCTGCAGAATACAATATTAACCACTTAAAGCCAAAACAAGTCTCATTAAACATGACTTAAGGATGTTCGCTCCTCTGTTAAAAAATAACAAGCTTTTAAAAAGACTGTTAAAATTGATAACATATATATAATGGAACTTAGAAAGCAGAAAAAATTGAAAGGTCCGTGTTCTTGTTTTTGAGATATAAGCAATTGAAAATTTGGCGGGAAGTGATTCTCTCTAGATTTTTTATGCGTTCAACATTGGCACCTTTTTTCTTTCAAAAACTATGAAAAAATAACAAGGATTTTATAAGATTTTCAAATATGGCTTTTTAAACTATATGTAATAAAACTGTGAAAAGAAAAGTAGGGGTTAGTGGGCAAATTTTTTTATTGGCAATACATGGACAAAACCAGAGAGTTTCGAATATCTGACAGAAATTCAAAAATAAGAGGAACGAACATCCTTAAAGCCAAAACAAGTCTCAATAAATATGACTTAATAACTGTCTGCCATGATTGTTTTTCATCTATTGCTTTAGTATAATTGCTTTTCTCATTTTGAATTGTTTCACATTATGTCATTAAAGGGCCTTTTATACTATACAGTACGAGTGCTGCTCATTGTTGAAGGTAGTTCAGTGACCTATAGTTGCTTACATCCTTGCGCTCTGGTCTTTTGTGGATAGTTCGCAATCATACCACATCTTCTTGTATCAATTTTTGTACCTAGGCTGAATATAGTAACATTTTCAGTTTAACCTCATGTACCTGCAACCCAACATTTTAATTTTTAGTGAAAAAAATTGTCAAAATCCTTCCTGCACTGATAAGGTGTTCTGACTGATTGATTTTTTGGTGTTTAACACCATTTTCAGCACTAATGGCTATATGTTAGCAGTCAGTGTTCATTGGTGGAAGAAGCTGAAGTACCCAGAAAAGAACACCAACCTTTGTCACCAAGATATTTTGAAAGTCTAGTCCTTTCTAAGAAGTTGTCACTATAGTTCAACATTTTTTTTTTTAAATCTAAATCCAGACATCTATTTCCTGTATTTTATTATAAATCATTAAATGCTTGTATGTCTAAAACATGCAAAGGGACTATCTTTTTTTTCTTATATCAATAAACATTTATAATTATAGAAAAAGTTGTTAAATAGCAAAGTGTGGGTATTTTGAAATTTAGCAGCCTATATTCAGTCTACAGTAGTGTATAATACCTATTCCCTCTGACAACTATGTCTTGGGTAAAAAAGTGTGTATAATACATGCCCAAGTACGGTAAATTTATTATCATAGTCAACAGCCAATAGTTAATACACAAATATCTGATTGGATCATTTGCTAAATAATATACTATTTCATTATTTTTAACAAGAAAATGTGTCCATAGAACACCAAGTCCTGCTTGCACTATTATATTTCCATTTTCAGTGAACCAGGAAATATTGGTCAACAACTGAATTTAATTTATATATATATTAAACAGTTCACCTTATAATGAACATATGTACAAGACTTCACGTTGATGTAACAACAAATAACCTTGAAACCAATATTTTAACCTGATACAGGACGGACGGACAGACCAGAAAACAAAATGCCACTGTACTATTGTAAGCAGGACATAAAAATCAGTCTTATTCATGATGGGCAGTTTGAAATTTGAACCAGAGACATATACAGTACCTGAGATTAGCAAACTTACATTACAGGTACTATAAATTCCCTAATTATTGCAAGGTTTTTATATATGTAAGTTATGTGACTGGTTGAGTATCACAATAATTAGAACTCACATTCTGATATCATCTTATATCTGTATGCAAATTTGTGTAATGTATAATTTTTCTCAAATTTTTGTCCTTTCTTCAAAAATCCCAACAATGGATAAACTCAATAATTTTTTCAATTTCCATTATTATAAATTCTGTGCACAAGGCTTTATGAGCCTTCTCTCACATTAATATTGTTTGAAAACGAAACAAAAAACAATAAATAATATAAGATAATAAATAAAATACTGAAAAGTTAATGTATAGATCCACATAAAATATTAGAAGGAATTACTTTGTGTGATGTTTGTATACTGTTTTATCAAGTCTATCACAATGAATTATTAGTTCCTGTAGTTGATATAGTCAAGAATTTGATTTTGTAAGGTTTTATGGACTCCCCCTTTTTTTTTTTAACACTGGTATTTTTGTAAAAATATTTGTTAATTGAGGAAAATTGAATATGAGAAAAAGAACACCAACCAAATTCTGACAAGACAGTTTTCAATCTCATGTACTATATGTCTCTGCTTAAAACAACATGATCAAGATTTTTTAGACAAAACATGAAGCATTTCATTTTTTGAAATTTTTCAGGGATTAAAATTTTAAAACTTCATTTAAAAAAACGTTTTACTGATTAATTTACATAAAACAAGTTAAAAGGCATGTTGTTATAAATGACAACACTATGGCTCTTTGAACAATATTAGATAATTTAGATATGACGACTATGCTTTGTCTTGGGTTACTGGTCATCAAGTTAAAAGGCATGTTGTTATGAATGACAACATTATGGCTCTGTGAACAATATTAGATAATTTAGATATGACAACTATGCTTTGTCTTGGGTTACTGGTCATCAAGTTAAAAGGCATGTTGTTATGAATGACAACATTATGGCTCTGTGAACAATATTAGATAATTTAAATATGACGACTATGCTTTGTCTTGGGTTACTGGTCATCAAGTTAAAAGGCATGTTGTTATGAATGACAACATTATGGCTCTGTGAACAATATTAGATAATTAAGATATGACAACTATGCTTTGTCTTGGGTTACTCGTCATCCCGTCCAGACTGTTAGACCTAAATAATGATGGTTTCTGTAATTTGGCAAGGGTTTCTTCTGTAGACATTGCCTGAAAACAAAACACAACTCTGTAAATGCATAATGGCAAAATTGTTTATAAATGCCAAAGCCACATCAGGACGTGCTTACTCTTCCACAGCATGTCATATTGTAAGCGAAGTCTTAATCTATGTAGCGGCACTGGGTCTGAGACATTGCTGATATAAACCTTTGATTTAAATATCATAAAAATCTTGCAAGAATATTAATTGTACATGTAAGAGTGCTTACAAAATATGATTTTCGAAATTTGTTGAGAGATTGCTGATAAAAACCTTTGATATAAGAATTATACATATTACAGTGCTTACAAGACAGGACTAACGGATGTAGATATGTAAGGACGGGTGGACGCCAAGTATTTCTATGTTCCCCACATCGGGGGCATTATTCAGAATTTTTGCAATAATCTTATTATTGAGAAAATCATTTGTAGTGAGTTTTTTTTTTTGGAAAGCCACTGTTATGTTTACAAAACATGAAAGCATTGAAATAAATTGATAATTAACGAGTGTGGATTCAATTATATATTTTGGTACCAATTTTCTTGGATTGATCATGAGGATTAGGCAAATTATAAAGGGCCATAACTCAAGAACTGTAAAAGTGACAATACCCAAATTTAAACTTGATCTGAGTTTTGTGGTTATAAGCATTGTTTATAAGTTTCATAACATTTAGTTGACGTAAACTTAAATTATAGAATAGAAACGAAAAATTCAGCAATTTTCCCATTTTTAAAGGGGCATAACTCTAGAATAGTAGATGTGACGCCACCAAAATTCAATCATTATCTGTGTTTTGTGGTAATTAGCATTGTGCATAAGTTTCATAACATTTGGTTGAGGCAAACTTTAACTAAAGTTAGAGAATGGAAACGAAAAATTCAGCAATTTTTCCATTTGTAAAGGAGCATAACTCTCGAACGGTAAAAAAGTGATGCCACCAAAATTCAAACTCGATCTGTGTTCTGTGGTATAAGCATTGTGGATAAGTTTCATAACATTTGGTTGAGGCAAACTAAAGTTAGAGAACGGAAACCAATTTACGGATGTACGTACAAAGTACAGACAGATGAGGGTAAAACTTAATGCCCCCTCCACTATGACTGGGGCATAAAAATGAATTTTCAGGGACATTTGATTTCAGGATTTTGCATACAAGCCTATAGAAAATTTGTAATTTGTTGATCATCTAAATTTGTCGTTCACCTGTAAAATCCATGAAAATAGGTATCCTACCAAAGTTAATGAATCCGCAGTAGCTGACCTCTAGATGTCTCTTTCGTGTTTGTGTGTGTTCGTGTGTGTGTGTTTTGAAAAGCTCTCTCATTGACATATTCCTGGCTACTTTTTTCACAAACACAAAATAACTTGTAATACTCTTGTAAAGTTAGAATTCCTTAACTAACTTGAAATGCTTGGTAGCCCTTTCCTTATTAAGGGGCACGAGCATGTTGTGGAAAATTACTAAAAAAAATTATATCAATTAACTATTTTGACAGCCCTTTCTTTAGTAAGGGGCTCCATTGGGAAAACCATATCATTTCAGTTAAATATCTCTAACTTAATAGACTCTTACTTTATAAAGGGGTTCCAGTGGGAAACCCATATCATTTCTGTTAAATACCTCTAACTTAATAGCTCTTACTTTATAAAGAGGTTCCAGTGGGAAACCCATATCATTTCAACATACCTCCAACTTGATAGCTCTTTCTTTATTGAGGGGCTCCAATGGGAAACTCAGATCATTTGCATCTGCCAGCACTCTCAGATCAAAATAATATTTGGCATAAACACTAGCAGGAACATTGATATTAAAGTCTATCATTTCCAAAAACTTTCTTTCAAGATCATTTCTGTCAAGATAAAAAATAAATAACATTTCAATCATCTAAGTCTGCTGCAAAATACTAACCAAAAGACCATGTTCCTGCAACTTCACTGAATTCAATATAGAAATAAGGAAATGTGGTATGATTGCCAATGAGACAACTTTCCGCCAAAGTTCAAATGTATTGGATGTAAGCATTTATAAGCAACCTGTATGGCCTTCAGGATTAGTGTTTTTTTTTAACTTGCATTGAACAAAGTATATATATATTCCAAATGAATTTACAAGTTAAATAAAATGCTTCGCTGGGTGCAGCTTGATACGACCGCAGAGGTCGAACCCTGAACAGTTGGGGCAAGTATGGACACAACATTCAAGCTTGATACAGCTCTGAATTTGGATTGTGATTAAATATTTGACACAGCATAGGTTTCTGACACAGAAAGAATGTGGTCTAAGAACTTCAATTTTTTTAATTTACCTATTATGGTCCAATGTCCAAAATCAAAATACATGGTTAGATTCAGTATATCAAAGAACCCCATATATTCAATTTTTGTTAAAATCAAACTAAGTTTAATTTTGGACCCTTTGGACCTTAATGTAGACCAATTTAAATAAACTGCTTCGCTGAGCGCAGCTGGATACGCCCGCAGAGGTCTAACCCTGAACAGTTGGGGCAAAAATGGACACAATATTCAAGCTTGATACAGGTCTGAATTTGGATTGTAATTAAATATTTGACATACATCTATTATAGGTTTCTGAATAAATGTAGTCAAAGAACTTGAAGTTGGTTATATGAATTGAGTTTATATTCAATTAAAGATTTCTTGCTGTTGTGCAATACACTGTGAAGTTGCCCAATACTTAGTAAATCTGTTGTCAGACTAAAAACAAAAAAAAATATAAAATTCTAAAGGGAGCTTACATCAATAGATATAAACAGTTCACCAAAGTTTCATACGAATTGCTGAAAGCATTTTTGAGTTTTTGTCTGAAAACTGGAAAATCCCCCCTTTTTTAATGAATAAACCCCATAATTCGGAAATGTAAAATCTAAAATTTATAAATTTCTAAAGGGAGCTTACATCAATAGATATCAACAATTCATCAAAGTTTCATGAGAACTGCTGAAAGCATTTTTGAGTTATTGTCCGAAAACTGGAAAATCCCCCTTTTTTTCATGAATAAAACCCCATAACTCGGAAACGTAAAATCTAAAATTTATAAAAATCCTAAGGGAGCTCATGTCAATAGATATAAACAATTAACCAAAATTTCTTGCAAGTTGGTGAAAGCATTCTTGAGTTATAGTCCGAAAACTGGAAAATCCCCCTTTTTTTAATGAATAAAACCCCATAACTCGGAAACGTAATATCTAAAATTTATAAAAAACGAAAGGGAGCTCATGTCAATAGATATAAACAATTAACCAAAATTTCTTGCAAGTTGGTGAAAGCATTCTTGAGTTATTGTCCGAAAACTGGAAAATCCCCCTTTTTTTAATGAATAAAACCCCATAACTCGGAAACGTAATATCTAAAATTTATAAAAAACGAAAGGGAGCTCACGTCAATAGATATAAACAATTCACCAAAGTTTTAAGCAAATTGGTTAAAGCATTTTTGAGTTAATGTCCGACATGTTGACGACGGACGGACGGACAGACGGACGGACGGACAGACGGACGTACAGACAGACAGACGGACGTACAACGGTATACCATAATACGTCCCGTAAACGGGCGTATAAAAACGGGACCCAAAATTAAAAATCTAAACACACGGTTAGATTTGGCATATCAAAGAACCCCAATAATTCAATTTTTGATGAAATCAAACAAAGTTTAATTTTGGACCCTTTTGACCTCAATATGAACCAATTTGATAACGGGGTCCACAAATAAAAAATCTAAATACATGGTTAGATGCAGCATATCAAAGAACCCCATATATTCAATTTTTGTTGAAATAAAACAAAGTTTAATTTTGGACCCCAATTTGGACCAACTTGAAAACTGGGCCAAAAATCAAAAATCTAAATACATGTTTAGATTCAGCATATCAAAGAACCCCATATATTCAATTTTTGTTAAAATCAAACAAAGTTTAATTTTGGACCCTTTGGACCTTAATGTAGACCAATTTGAAAACTGGACCCAAAATTAAAAATCTAAATACACGGTTAGATTCGGGAAAACAAATAAATAAATGTGGTCAAAGATTTTACAAATCTAATGCGCCATACTGGTCTTCCTTTATAAATATGCATTTCTTTAAACATAATTTAAAAGCAGTGTAAGGGAAGTAACCAAAACGTTGTATTTGGATTACCTCCCTTACACTGTTTTAAATTATCTTAATTGTTCATTAACCATTACTTTATACATAATTTAAAAGCAGTGTAAGGGAGATAATTTCAATGATGTATTTGATTTATCTCCCTTACACTGCTTTAAATTATGTTTTTTACTAAAGTATTTGTCCATTAATGAGGACAACCTTGTTTTTCCCCCTTTTTTGCCCCTAATTCTTAAACGGTTTGAGCAATAACCCCCCAAAGCAAATCCTAACCATCCCTTTGTGGTATGGAAACTTGTAGTATAATTTCAGAGAGATCCATACACCGTTCCACAGTTATTGTCTGGAATCTAGAAAATGCTTATTTTTGGCCCCTTTTTGGCCCCTAATTCCTTAACTGTTGGTACCATAACCCCCAAAATCAATCCCCACCTTCCTTTTGTGGTATTGAACCTTATGGTAAAATTTCATAGAGATCCATTCACTTAAACTAAAGTTAGAGTGCGAAAACTAATGCGTCTTCATACGACGACGCTGGACGACGACGACGACGCCAACGTCATACCAATATACGACCACAAAAAATTTTTTGCGGTCGTATAATAAAAATTTGTAAGGGTTCGGCAGAACCCAGTGTCTCGCCTACTTTTGCTGTTGTCTATGTTTTCAATGTGATAGGGGAATGCACATAATAGATTTACAGGTAATGAAATAAAACGTTCGAAATGTATGAAAAAAGTTATGCTTGTTAAAAATGAATACAGTATGCAATCAAATCTATAGATTTATAAAAGAGTTGAAACATAAATTTATTGAATAAACAAATGATAATTTTTACATTTTCCTCTAGATACTATCTTTTAATTGTAAGAAGCTTCTGTCCAAGTTTGGTAAAAATCAAGGTTGGTTTATGAATGTAATAAACATTTTAAAAACTTTATGTAAGTATGTAATATCATGGAAGTATTATATTGACAGGAACTCCAACAAGCGGACTTCAAACATTTATAGTGCGATGCTGCAAAATCATTAAGTATCTGTTAATTAACTCGACATGTCTTATGGATGCATGGGATCCGATCAAATTTTTGGAACCTCTTGAATGATCGTAATTACGGAACATACCGAAATAACCAGATGTGTACTTAATTGTCAAGAAAATGACATTCACCAACCATGTGAATGACAAATATGTCAGTATTTACGGGTTTTGCTGCTTCACAACAAATAAAAAGAAAAGACACGAAATCCCCAATACTGTTTTCATCAACATGATCAAATGAAAAAAAAAAAACATAAAAGATCTGAGGAGTAAAAATACTCAGAAGCCATAAACATTTCAGTATAAGTTACAATCATGTTTAAAATAGTAGGATTTTTATTCATTAGAGGGTCTTTGGCTAATCACACGTAACTGTACATGTTAAGCTTGAAAATCATAAAATTCTCATGTAAAATAAACGAAAAAGTTATTATCAGTAATTATTATTGATATTTCAGAACTGTTAAGCTTTTTTAAAAACACATAAATAAATTCTAATGTGGTTTTCATGATAAAAAAAATAAACTGCTCAGAGCCTATAGCCATTATATATAGTGATCGTTCTTTAAATGCATTCAGAAATATTTAAAGCCATCCGTAAAAATAAATCTGTCAGACGTCATCAAGTATTCTCGGACTAGGTTGAATGTTAAGGTTTGTTTACAACGAATTATCATAAAAGGTGTAAAAATTCATCTGCATGTCTCGTAACCTGATATTGCTATGTAGAGGACATCAGATGTGTGTAATTATTAACCTCTTTTAGTCTTCAAAACATATTTGATAAATAAATTAATATCATTTTACGATATTTTATGATAGAGAAAACCATAAATCTTTGTGTTACACTCGATAAGAGTTTACAATCTTTAACCCAAAAATTGAGTTATCCGGCACCATCCAGCACACTACACGCGCATCACATTAACTTCTGCAAACACTCTTCTTCAGACTCATGTAATTTTTATAACAGGATATTTCCCGATTTCCTAGTTCTACTGATATAAATATATCAAACAAAACTAAAAATAATCTTAACTTCTTTCCTAAAACAAATAATTTTCTTTTGTCATTCTGTTAAATATGGACCGATTTTTTAGATTGTTTCAGCTGTAGCCTTTATTTATTGAACAGAAACAGGTGTCGTTATTCATGTAGCGATTCGCAAAAAGCCACAGGAGTTTCCATGTTTATCTACGTTGGTAGGTAGATAAGACCTTGGATAACAGATCACATGATAAGATCAGTTTCTGTAAACTTTACAGGCGACAGCGGCATCGCAGATACCCCACAAAGGAGTTATCACGTACTTGACAAACTGAGTCAGAACCTTTTATTTTCCTAAAGAAATCAGTGGGATGCGAATGTGCTAATTTTTCGTTGGAGTTCCTGTCAATATAATACTTCCATGGTAATATTAACTGGAAGAAAAACCATGAAAACTAAGTCCATTTATAAGTAATATACGGAAAAACAGGAAATAAATTTTAACAAAATTTCCTTCTAGATACTAGCTTTTGATCATAAACAAGCTTCTATCCAAGTCTGGTACAAATCGAGGATAGTTTAAGAAAGTTATTAAAATTTTTGAAACTTTAACCACAGAGTAAATGTAATGTTAACTGGCAGAAAAACTAAGTCCATTTATAAGTAAAATACGGATAAACAGGATTTTTTTTTACAAAATATACTTCTGGATACTATCTTATGATCATAAACAAGCTTCTGTCCAAGTTTGGTAGAAATCCAGGATATTTTAAGAAAGTTATTAAAATTTTAAAAACTTTAACCACAGACATGACAATGTGAATGTAATGTTAACTGGCAGAAAAAATAAGTCCATTTATTAGTAAAATACGGATAAACAGGATTTTAATTTTTTTACAAAATTTACTTCTGGATACTATCTTATGATCATAAACAAGCTTCTGTCCAAGTTTGGTAGAAATCCAGGATAGTTTAAGAAAGTTATTAAAATTTCAAAAACTTTAACCAAAGGGACGCTGCTGTCGCCGCTGCCGATAGAATGTAGGATCGCTATGTCTCGCTTTTGTGACAAAAATCGCATGCTCGACAAAAAGAAGAATGTGTCTGAGGACATGAATGAAACCCCCCCCCCCCCCTCCCCCCTTTTCCCCTCCAACAAAAATGAGACAGATGGACAGATGGTCGGACGGAAGGACGGAAGGTCAAGGGTAACACTTAATGCCCCCGTCACCTATGACAGGGGCATAAAAAAGACAGTAAACTACTGTCTATCATTTTACACAAATCTTTAACTATAATAACAAGAATGCACATACTTTATTTATCACGACTGAAATTGTATTGAAAGTCTTCAAAATAAAGGTTTACAACAAATACCACATCAATTAACAATTTCAATGATCTACGTAAATGAGGTCAAGGTCAGATGAACCCTATCAGATGGACATGTACATTGCATGGATTTTTATACCATTACTCAGTGTCCGGTATTCGGACCCATTCCCAATGGCAAAACCCCTTCATTTTTCCAAATTTCAAGAGGATAAATTCCCAAAAAATCTCAAAACTATATTATTCAAGTAATACATGTGTAAAACTATTGAAAACATATCTGACTGACAAAAAGTTGAAAAACAACTTTGATAAATGGCCACTTTAAGGATGTTCGCTACTCTGTTTCAAAATAACAAGCTTTTTAAAAGACTGATATAAATTGATAGAATATAAATAAAGGAACTAAATCAGCAGAAAAAAATGAAGGGTCTGTGTGCTTGTTTACAAGATATAAACCACTGAAAATTTGGCAGGAAATGATTCTCTCTAGATTTTTCATACATTTAACATTGGCACCTTTTTTTCTTTCAAAAAGTATGAAAAAATAACAAGGAATTTATAAGATTTTCAAATATATATACCAAGAAAAACCCCTGTATTGATCATTCTATTTCATTCTCTGGCCTTTGTTAGTCTTGTATATAGACTTTTTTTTAATTTAAGTTCATTTATATGTTTCGGAGTTTAGTGTGACGTCCATTTTCACTAAACTAGTACACATTTTTGTTTAGGGGCCAGCTGAAACCAACCACCAGGTGCGAGATTTTCTTGCTGTGTTGTAAACCCATTGGTGGCCTTGGGCTGTTTTCTGCTCTTAGGTTGGGTTGTTGCCTCTTTGACACATTCCCCATTGGATTTGATCAACCATTTTACAACTTACCACTAACATGCAGTTCTGAACAACCCGAAATAAAAGATTAAGAAATTTGAAATTTCACACCCACAAAATAACCTGGTATACATAAGAACATACAAGCCGGTGCTAGGCGCCCTCTTAAGCTGCAGTGAGGTGAGAGTTTTTTTGCTCCGTGTTCAATCCTCACTGTGACTTTGAGATGAAAAACAGCAATAAAAGCCCTGTTCCTTCGCTTTTTGCTTGTTTTCTTGCTGTGCATGACTTATTTTATGTCATGGATGGATACCTTTGTTTTTTATTATACAAAAATGCAATATTTTCTGATTTCCCTATAACTATAGTCATTCTTATCTTTATTTCAAGAACCTTTGGTTTATATCCCTATGTATACATACATATCTTCAACTGCAATGTCTTTCAAGATCTGACAATAATCGACATTCCAAACAGCTTGATCGTCCCAGACCTTAGAGGATAGAAGGATAGCACCTAATACAATCCGTCGCCAGTTAGCTGGCATTATGTCTATTTCAGCATAATGTAAAAGTCTTTCTAAATATACCTGTGCAAATAAAAAATAATAATTAAAAAAGTTGTTATATCTAAAAATGTGCACACAATCAACAGTGGTAAAGTTCTTTAAGCAGTCCGACTACTGTATCATTAGCCTGTCATTAGATTTCATAGCTGACAATGCGGTATAGGTTTTGATCATTGTTGAAGGCAGAATGGTACACATGACCTATTGCTACAGTTGTTGACTTCTATGTCATTTGGTCTCTGGTGGAGAGTTGTCTCACTGGCAATTATACCATATCTTCTTAATTTTATTTTTGCCATGGCTTTGTCAGTTTACTTTTAACTTAGGAGTTTGAATGTCCCTTTGGTATCTTTCACCTCTCTTTCACATTCATAATTTGAGAAGCGATTTTCCTTAAAAAATACTTTTAGAAATTTGAAATTTCTAAAAATTAAATATTTTCAACGAGTTTTTAAATACTTTTCAATCATGTTAAATAGATCTCATATTTTTACCAGTAATCATTGATTCACAATACTAAATTTATGCATGCATTAATTTCTGAACTGAGTAATTTTTTGGCAAGGGTTGTATCAGAATAAAAATAATGAGGGCAAGGGACCAGTGAGGCACTTTTTTTTAAACCCCTACCACCCAAAAAATCAAATTTTTGTTTTACTTGTATTTCTAACAAAATTCTATAGAAATATCATACATAATTAATTAATTTGAGTGCCTCCCATTCCCCACCACAATTAATCATAGAACAGCCCAATGAACCCAGCCTATGAGTACCTACCATTCCCCACCACAATTAATCATAGAACAGCCCAATGAACCCAGCCTATGAGTACCTACCATTCCTCATCACAATTAATCATAGAACAGCCCAATGAACCCAGTCTATGAGTACCTACCATTCCTCACCACAATTAATCATAGAACAGCCCAATGAACCCAGCCTATGAGTACCTACCATTCCTCACCACAATTAATCATAGAACAGCCCCAATGAACCCAGCCTATGAGTACCTACCATTCCCCACCACAATTAATCATAGAACAGCCCCAATGAACCCAGCCTATGAGTACCTACCATTCCCCACCACAATTAATCATAGAACAGCCCAATGAACCCAGCCTATGAGTACCTACCATTCCCCACCACAATTAATCATATAACAGCCCAATGAACCCAGCATATGAGTACCCACCATTCCCCACCACAATTAATCATAGAACAGCCCAATGAACCCAGCCTATGAGTACCTACCATTCCCCACCACAATTAATCATAGAACAGCCCAATGAACCCAGCCTATGAGTACCTACCATTCCCCACCACAATTAATCATAAAACAGCCCAATGAACCCAGCCTATGAGTACCTACCATTCCCCACCACAATTAATCATAGAACAGCCCAATGAACCCAGCCTATGAGTACCTACCATTCCCCACCACAATTAATCATAGAACAGCCCAAATGAACCCAGCCTATGAGTACCTACCATTCCCCACCACAATTAATCATAGAACAGCCCAATGAACCCAGCCTATGAGTACCTACCATTCCCCACCACAATTAATCATAGAACAGCCCAATGAACCCAGCCTATGAGTACCTACCATTCCCCACCACAATTAATCATAGAACAGCCCCAATGAACCCAGCATATGAGTACCCACCATTCCCCACCACAATTAATCATAGAACAGCCCAATGAACCCAGCCTATGAGTACCTACCATTCCCCACCACAATTAATCATAGAACAGCCCAATGAACCCAGCCTATGAGTACCTACCATTCCCCTACACAATTAATAATAGAACAGCCCCAATGAACCCAGCCTATGAGTACCTACCATTCTCCACCACAATTAATCATAGAACAGCCCAATGAACCCAGCCTATGAGTACCTACCATTCCCCACCACAATTAATCATAGAACAGCCCAATGAACCCAGCCTATGAGTACCTACCATTCTCCACCACAATTAATCATAGAACAGCCCAATGAACCCAGCCTATGAGTACCTACCATTCCCCACCACAATTAATCATAGAACAGCCCCAATGAACCCAGCCTATGAGTACCCACCATTGCCCACCACAATTAATCATAGAACAGCCCAATGAACCCAGCTTATGAGTACCTACCATTCCCCACCACAATTAATCATAGAACAGCCCCAATGAACCCAGCCTATGAGTACCCACCATTGCCCACCACAATTAGTCATAGAACAGCCCAATGAACCCAGCCTATGAGTACCTACCATTCCCCACCACAATTAATCATAGAACAGCCCGTATGAACCCAGCCTATGAGTACCTACCAAGGTTACTATTGCACATTCTGCAGTAAGTTGAGCAGCACTAAACAAATTCCTAACAAATCTGTATATATGTTTATGTTCAGGATCACGTGTGTTGTAATCTTCGGGAACTAATTCCTTCTGCAAGTAGAAACAACAAGTGAAAGTGCGAGCTACTGCTCACTGATGATAACCCTGCTCAAATATACATTTGGAATATTTAAACCACAATGTTTTTAGGTATAAACATTGTTGAGTGATGAATCTGAAAACGCATCGTACAGCATAGCTGACTCATATGAACCCTGAAACAAGATTTCAGAAATCCTTGTAATGTAGTTCCTGAGAAAAATGTGATGATAATTTTCAACTTGGGTGTCATGTGTAAAATGATGTAAGTGTTCTGTAAACAGGAAGTTGGTTGAGTGATGAATCTGAAAAGGCATCACACGGTATAGACTTATACAAACCCTGAAACCAAATTTCAGAAATCATTATGATGTAGTTCCTGAGAAAGATGCGACGAAAAATATTCATGGGATAAATGGACGGACTGAAGGATGGACCGACAGACAGACAGAGGTAAAACAGTATACCCCCACTTTTTTAAAGCGGGGTATAAATTGATGAGTGAATACACATTTATTTCATTTTTGTGGATAAAAATTTCTCAAGGATTGAGAAAAATCTCTATTACTGTGATCACTTATATCATGTACATAGAATTATAGATCATAAAAGACAATAACTTGCTGAAGTAGTGCCCTACTGACAAAATCTGGAGCGATCTGAGGTGCTCTGAAGGTTAAGAAATAAAAATATGGAAAACATTACTATAGTAATATTATTTCGTGCATTTAGAAATCAATATGTTCAACGGCCATGAGTGAATAATGTTTGTGGTTATTCAAAACTTTATACTTTTTCAAAATTAAAAGTTCAGTAGTCTTTTTCAACAATTAAGGTGGTACATACAGATAAAGGGAGATAACTCTGTAAAAATCAGCTGAACGTTTTAATCACATCCTATTGTTAAGGAAATATTAAGCTTCTCAATGATCAAAATTAGTGTTTGTCAAACTGCTTTATATCCAATGAAATTTTTCCGACAAAGTGTGTGGTTCAAGTTTTTTGAAATTTTTATATTTTTGTCAAAGGGTCAAAGTAAGTACTGTTTCAAAATTTTACGAAAATTAAACTAGCCAATTAGTTTTAGTCAAGGTGTTTGGTACCACCCTAAAGTGTACATACAGATAAAGGATGTGCCTTCTCATCAAATATTTCCAGAGTTCGGTTACTCTCACGGTTTCTGATGTGGAAGTACACAGCATAAGCTACGGCCTTGATTGTGTTTTTAAGGTTTGGTTGACTGACTGTGGAATCATCTATAAATATCGTAGAACACGAACTGCACTTTCTCAGAGCATTCTGAAAAAGAAGAAAATAACTTATTTCCTTTATATAAAAAGTATATAAGATGTACATATATTTTGAATCTGCATGTTATATAGAATTAAATTTAAAACATTTATAGAATTTGGTATACAAATCATAAAAGTATTTTATATATACTTGAAGATGTAAGTAATATTTACTTGTACAAGTAAATTTGTCAAATTAAAATTTTCTTTTCAATCTTTGAATAATCTCCCTTTATGCTTCTCCAAAAATTTACTTCCAGAGCTCCAGATAAGCTGCGTATTTGCGTGATCACGCAATACAAATGATTAAAAACCCAATGCAATTGCCCATTGCAGGGTTCAATAACCCAATTAATTCAAAGGAAAACCCAATTATATGCCAAAACCATAAGTTCTTAACGCTTTTATTCGCTATCGTTTGCGTTATTTACCCTTATCTAATAACAATCGTCGCGTAAATCTATTTTTATAATATTTATAATTGGAAATTTCCTTTCGTTCTAAAAATAGAGCCCTGCATCAAGTAGCTGAAATGGGTCCCTGTTGGAATTTTCCGTTGCTCAAAAGGTTCACGTGTTTATGAACACATTTCGATCTTCTCGGAGTTTATCCAATTAGCGTTTGTCATGTTTTCATACTTTTTTTGAATTGCTCTGGACTTATCGTAACATACAATGAATTAAAACGAAAGTAAATGTCCGGTATCATATTGAATAGAAGCATGTTTTCAGCTTCTTTTTGATAGCTGAGGACAAGTTATGATGATAACAAGACCCAGCTAGTGTTTTATGAAGCGTCCTTTGAACGCACGGGCGTGTTTGCGTACCTTAACGAGAACATTGCTAGAACGATATTAAACACGGGGTTTCTTCAATTCTTCATTTTTAGTTGATGAGTGAATACACATATCTGTTTTTTCACGTCAATGCAGCTTGACACTTTCTTTATTTTGGTCTAATTGTTCTGTATGCTTAAGATAGCTGTCTTATTGGCAAGTGTTATTTATTTATTTGATGTTGCAGAATTATTTGTAAATTGAAGTTGAATGTGGTGTCCGTAATTAAACCACCCTTTAAACCAGGTCAAGGTTTTGGGGTATATTTTAAATCTGGGAACTTCTTATTATTTTTATTAAAAAGTAGATCTGGCAAATAAGTGAAAGGACTGGCAAAACTTTCTTACAGCACCTAAATTTCACATATATTACATAAAAATCTTAACCCATAGCCACACCTACCCCAAATAAACTGTAGGATATCATATGGGATCTAGAAAGGTAATTAGTTACTGTATAACTAGTGATACCAGCTGCAGTTTATATAAGTTGCGAGAAAATACAAAACTGGCAGAACGTTTAAAACGGGACACAAATCAAACGTACAATTGCTCGTCAGTGAATAAACCAAACAAAACAGCTAGCATATATACAAAGAAAGAAACATATTAAAGATGGAAAAACATCTTGGGTTGATATAATGTGATTATAACATGCCTAAATATTCAATATTGTGTTGATGAAAAAACCCAATACATTAAGGAGCTTGGTGGTGAAAAACCCAATTTGATATTTGCTTGAGGGGTGAATCGGAATTGATAATGCAATTAAAAAACTCTATCACCCAATTACATAAAAAAATGATGGGTAAAAACCCCAATTTGTGAATTCTTATCTGGAGCTCTGTACTTCTACAACTTAATTTTTTAAAACCCCTCAAATTTTCTATTTTTGTTTGAAAGTCAAATATTTGTTTCCTTATTTTTGAAATATTTTTCTTTAAATAATCCTGATTAAAATTTAAACTTTAAAATCCCTACAACTCACAATTGCTATCTATTTAAGTGTGCAAAGTCTTAAATAAATGTTCCCTGGAGTAATGTAAATATGCAGGATTTTCAAAAATAACAGAAAAATGAGATTTTCATTGTCAATAAAGATTCTATTATACATTATAAACACAGAAACATAAACACTCTTATAGAGCAATACACACAATGTAAAAACTAGAAGAAAATATGAATTTCTTACACATCCAGGTAAAACAATCTGGACTAAGGGAGATAACTCTACTTCCAAAATCAGTTACCTGTACATGTACCAGAAATACAATTTATTTAAGAGTACAAGTCTTACCCTTGACTGTTACTCTTAGAATTCAATCTAGGTTACAACTTTGCTAGAATCTTATACGTTACATGCATTCAATCAGACACGTATAAAAATGCATGCAACTCTCGTGTGTCCAACTAAGGCAATATTAGGTCATTACATAACACAAATGGTGATTCAGCTAAAAAATCTCTTGATGGTAATAGAACATGGTGGTCTCGGTTTATTTGATTTTTTAAGTCCCTAACGTTTTACCAATTTGTATATATATATATCTATTTGTTACTGTAAATTCAGCAATTATTGTCAAAATTGCAATGGACAGGATTTGCGAAATTTTGAAACATGTTTAAACTTTTATAGCATTAGTTTCTGAATGATTAATCGTGTACGCTATAGTCCATTTTTCAACAATCCTAATAATGAATGTAGACAAAAAATTCAGAATTTCTAGCATTCAGCAAAATAATTCAAATTGAATCATCCAAAATCAACAGGGTATATGTAGGACTCAAATCTATGGCGGGTTCCAAATCTATGGCAGATTCCTAATCTATGGTAAATGTGACGTCATGCCATCCCAAATCTATGGCAGATTGTTTTACAATCCTAATCTATGGAACCCACCATAGATTTGAGTCCTACATATATAGAGTAAAACACAAATAGCAGGTAGAGATTTGAACCTAAATATTTACATACATTTTGAATGTGTTCTCTTTGAGAGTTTCTGGGTTCATTATTGAACCTAAATATTTACATACATTTTGAATGTGTTCTCTTTGATAGTTCCTGGGTACAATATTGAACCTAAATATTTACATACATTTTGAATGTGTTCTGTTTGATAGTTCCTTGGTTCATACTGACTTATCCTTCTCTTCTTGTAATCTACAATAAATATAAATAAACTTTTAAAAATCTTTAAGGAGGTACATAACACCTAAGGGAGATAACTCTTTAAATATCAGCTGAACATTTCAATCATGTACTATTAGTAAAGAGAAATTAAGCTTCCCCATGATCAAAATTACTGTTTGTCAAACATATATATCCAACGAAATTATTCCTGTAAATTGTGTGGTTCAATTTTTTTTATAATTTTTATATTTTTGTCCACAGGTCAAAGCAGATATTTAGTCAAAATTTTATGAAAATTAAACGAGCCAAATATATTTTAGTCAAAGTGTTCGGTAACCCCTTAAGTTCTATAGGTTCATTATCCAACTACAAATTTGAAAGGAACATCATTAGCAGAAATAGGAAAGATTGAAAAAAGTTGAGTATATCCAGGTACAAAATTAGTACCAATAATAACATGGCTAGATTGATTGTGAAAAGTTATACATAAATTTATATTGTATTTATGCATTTGAATAAAAGGGTACTAAAGTTAAGAGTACGGAAACAGGAAATTTAGCTATTTTTGCATTTATGAAGGGATATAACTTTAGAACAGTGAAAGTGACACCCTCCAACATGTCAAATTCAAACTTGACCTGAGTTTGGTGGTAATAAGCATTGTGTATAAGTTTCAGAACATTAGGTTGAGAACTGCAACTACGCCAATTTTTCCATTTATAAAGGGACATAACTTGAGAATGCTGAAAGTGACGCCACCCAAATTTAAAAAAAAAACAATTGGGGAATAATCTTATCCTTAAACAATGTTAAATATTGCAATACATACTGAAAATAAGTTAAGTATTTTGTTTATATTTTGTATATTTAAAAATTGTATAAATTTACAATATAATTCCATTTAAAGTGACTAGCAGCAATTTTTTAGAGGGCATACTAGTCACCTTGCATTGGTTATCACTCTGAGATGATTTTTCCACATATATTTCTAACTGTTAAACATATATGTCAGGGCAAGGAATCTGTGTCATTGTAATCCTACCCAAAAACAATGAATAACATTTTAATGGCGGACGAAGAAAATTAACAAAAATAAACGATGTTTGGCAAGAAATTTGGAAAGGAATAGGACATTTTCAATGCAATTAATGGATTACAAATTTACTTCAGGCAACTTTCATCACGTTCTAATGAAGTAACACACTTACATTGTATTTTGCCGACACTAAATGATTTAATCATGTACGCTCTCGAGTCTTGCGGAAGTGATAAATTTGTCTTCATGAAATACATGCAACCAACTTAGCCAATGCTTGTCACCCTACGATCAGCAAAAAACCCAATACCGCAACTGGATCTCGAACTAGATAACGCTACAAGGCACATGGCGTAAAATTTTTCGGAAGAAAAAGGGCATGTCGTCCGAAAAAAATGCTAAATTGCTTTAGATAAAACACTATGTACAGTATGCTCGTGGGTGTGTTCTTTTCCTGGAATGTGACATACTGATTCGAGTTATCATCAGATTTATACTTACACGTAAATGAGCAACATGACAGGTGCCACATATGGAGCAGGATCTGCTTCCCCTTCCGGAGCACCTGAGATCACCTCCTGGTTTTTTGTGGCATTCGTGTTGCCCTGTCTTCACTTAAGCTTTCTATGTTTTGTTTTGAATACTGTTGCTTGTCTTTTGATCTTTTTTTTTTTGTCATGGCATTGTCAGTTTGTTTTCGATTCATGAGTTTGAATTTCCCTCTGGTGTCTTTCTCTCTCTACTTAAATATAAACTCACTTTTTGCTATCTCACTCTGTGACTTTGAAGAGAACAAGGTGGTAGCTGTAGGATGAATTGAAGGGTCAGCTTCATTTTCTGTAATCATAAAACACATTTTTTTTATTACATGAACTACCATTTTGTGATCACAAAATTGAGAATGGAAACAGGAAATGTGTCAAAAAGACAACAACCCGACCAAAGAGCATAAAATAACCGAAGGCCACCAATGGGTCTTCAATACAGCGAGAAAATCCCGCACTCAGACAAAATGTGTACTAGTTCAGTGAAAATGGACGTCACACTAAACTCTGAAATGTACATTATCATTTTATTTTGAAACAACAAATTATCCATAAGTCAGCAGAACCAACTTCATTGATTTTTAATTTCTAAATCAGGATCACTCGTTTATGACTTGAGGCATTATTGTTTTGACATCCAAAGACTTATCTTAATTTACGACAATATGGCTATGAATAGTGGAAATTGCTGATTTAACGTCCATAGATTCAATGGAACTAGCTATATATATATAGGAATCATTGGGTTTATACCTTTAGGGTTTTTTTCCTTCATGAGAGACAGAAAACAGACTGTTCCATTTCAAACTAATCTGGGCTTTTCTATAACTTGATTATTTGAATTTATCCTGTAGGCCATTTGTTAACCTGATATCCTGTAGGCCATTTTTTTTTCACCCGATTAGATTTCATTTGCTCCTAACTTGGAGATGGACAAGTTGAAATTGTCATTTATCAAAACAATACTTTAACAGAATTAATTGATTGTTCAAATGTTATAGGATTCATCATGTTCATCACAAGGTGATTTGATGAGTTCATAAAATCATAGTACACGAAGATGTGAAACCTGTTGGAGTAAAATGTTGTGAATAAAAGGATTTGGAACTTTAAATTTGTTTATATTTTTACTTGTGTGGACACTGAATTTTATTTTAAGTATATATATACATTGTATTTATATGCAATACAAAATATTATACCTGCAGTGTTTTTATATGATACTGTATTGTGTGTGTACAAGTATATAGAAAACCCTTAAAAAATAAATATTGACATGTAGTTGGTTTTTTTTTAATCATATTCTATACTATCAATTTGAATTTAAAAACAATTGGTTGCTAATCATGCTAATATATCATGCATTAGTTTCACCTGCATCTACCATTGTCTACCTCAATCTATTTCAAAAAGTCCCACAAAAAAATACTTGTAATTTGTATCTGATGGCTCAGTTTTTTATATCAAAAACTGAAAGAGAATGGTTGAGAGATTAAATTTATATCACCACTTGTCATAGTTTTGTAAAACAATATTAAGGCCATGGTAAAATGAATGTTGGTTTCCCTTAACATATGAAAATTATCATGGCCCAGCAATTTTTCCATTTGCAAAGGGGCATAACTCTAGAAAGGAAAAAAGTGACACAACCCAAATTCAAACTTGATCTGTGTTTTGTGATAATAAGCATTGTGTATAAGTTTCATAACATTTGATTGAGGCAAACTAAAGAAAGGAAACCAATTTCGGGACGTGTGGACCGACGGATATCATGGATGTAGACTGACATGGGGAAAACTTAATGCCCCCTCCTGTTGTCGTTATTTCCCACCCCTTAACATGCTTAACAACTGGTTAGCTCATAAAAAATGAATATAAACAAATTCAGCTGAGCTGTGTGATTACACAACATCCTCATGATGAAAATCAATTCAATGTAAAATTATTACTCAAACAGTCGCTCAGTTTCCCGTTAAATTGTTTTGTATGTAAAATCCAACATTGTCAAAGGAGGTACAAAGTCGACGTAGTATTATTTCATGTAATCATCCTCTGTATTGGTCCTTGGTCATTCGTCAATTCTGGTTTACCTGTGTGACCAGTAAATCACAAAGTTTTCTCCCTTATACTGATTTTGATAGCGACTTGATTTCAATATGAAGTCAGTCAGCCGGCCAGTTTCAGCAATTTTCAATAATATTTTGCCAATTTAAGTCATTATTTCACCAGAAAGATTACGCCCTGAAGTATAAAAATTCTTAAGACAGAATCATATACATATACAAGTCATCATATCTGTATACAGGTATAGAAGGAATTAGGAAATGGTTAACATACATTGTATATACAGTATGTATTGGTGTTGTTTAATAGGATACATGTCAACTGGTACCTTTGGCAACTTGTACTCAACCAACTCGTACCCTATTTTTACCAACTCGCACTTCTACGAACTCATACCTAATAGTTTTTAGCATAATACTTCTCTATATTATTTCTTATCGAAACAAACCCGTTCTAATTTTATCCACTAATTATCAATGATTAGTATATTGTATGATCATAATTATTTAATATGCCAAGGACTTGTATATATAGTATACAAATCTTTGAGTATGCCAGAGACATATATCAGTCAGGGGTACTACTTGTACAAGTAATCTTTACTTACATGAAGAAGTAAATAAAATATACCTATATAAGTTAATTATAATGTTTGAATAATCTCCCCTTAATTTTCTCAAAAATTTACTTGTATAAGTAAATTTTTTTTACAATCCCACAAAAATTCTCAAGTTTTGAGATGTTAAATCATGCATGCCTTTAACAATATTTCTCAGGTTAGCTCATAATTTTTGATAAGAGTTGAATGTTTCATCTCATTAATTCACCAAAGAAACTGATTGCGCAAAGATCTTAAGTATTTGCGCAAGGCCTTCAAAAATTACTCCTTGGGGGCTTGTAAATGAGCAGTATTCTGAAGATAACAGACAAATGAGATTTTCATTGTCCATGAAATTACACTTAAATGATTAGTAAAGACACTTGCAAAGGACAGACAATTCAAAATTCTGTTAGAGCAAAGAAGTTTTAAGAATTCAAGAAAAGAAGATAGGATGACTTTTTTACTTGTATAAGTAAAAAAATCTGAATGTCTAAGGGACATAATTAGGCCAAAAAATAATTTACCTATACAAGTAAATAAAATACACTTGTATAAGTATCCTACAAATTTACTTATATAAGTATATTAATATTTACTTCTTCAAGTAAATAAAAATTACTTGTACAAGTAGTACCCCTGACTGTATATCAGGGTCGTAATGGGGGCAACTTCATGACGAAAAACGGTAAAAAATCTTGCCAAATGACGTTAACAGTAATTTTTGGTGCATGACAATAAAATGTACACTTCCTTTAACATGGTTAAGAAGATAAAAAAATCGACTGATTTTGACGAATCACGGTAAAATTTTGACAATTTGACGCTAACCGTAGCCGAAAATGACCATTTGACGCCTGTCCAAACAATTTGATATAATCAAAAAATTCTAAGGACTAATGATTAGCAGATTAGCTTTGATTTATTTGAAACATGATATGTGAAAGAAAATATCAACTATAATGTATATAAATAATAATAAATCATGGGTACAAGTTTGTAAAAATAGGGTACAAGTTGGTTGAGTACGAGTTGCCGGAGGTACTAGTTATCGTGTACCCGTTTTATACACTTTTGGCGTTTCTATATACATTTATATACATTTTTATATGCATATATATGTATATGCAAGTCATCTTTATGGTTCCAAATGACATAAAGGTCCTCTTTAAGGTACAAAATAGCTTTTGTAATGGTACATTTTTTTTGTACTTCATGACTAGAATTCTAATCTTACATAGGGGTGTCAGGTTTAAAAACAAATAAAGCATGTAAAGGGTGTGACATTTTAGTATGTTCAATACCTTCTGGTAAGATTTCCCTGTCACTTATGTGTGGTACTGCTGACAAAGAAGGTGTACTCAGGTTATTGTGTGTTAGTGTCACACGCACGTCATCTTGTCTGTGATTAGCAAACTGTGGTGTAATTGAAGTCCTGTAGGCATCCTCAGGTCTTCTTGGCTTCGACCCTCCAAATGAACAGCAGGATTGCTTATTTCCCATCTATATTGCTCTTTACTATACCTTAAAAATTACTACATGGCAACCATGTGTCATGCTGATCATATATTGTCAGTTTTTTGGTATCAGCTGATTTTCTAAATCAGCGCACCCAAAAAGATGCTCGTGCCGGGTCGGACTTGCGTGTGAATCATCAATATGAATAGAAAAGCAGTATACTTTGTGAGAAAATAATGTTAAATTATTGAATTTGTGTGGATATAGGAACAATGTTCATGTTATTTGAACCAAATTTTGCTCAGATATTAAGTTATTATCCCTCATTTGTTCAACATCACAACGACGGAAATGTCGGAAGTGGTCCAGACAACTGTAATGCAGTTAATTTATTATGCGTTTTGATTGGACAAAATTAACGGAAGTATTTTAGCGGGAAAATTCAGTTTTAGTTAAAAAACTATAATCCCTTTTGCTATTCAATATTTTCCTTATCATACAATTTATATATTTTCCATCAAAAGAATTTGAACTCATTTCTTCAGTCAAATATACATGAAACAAACTTTTTTCAACGACTTGAGTTAATAGCAATGCCAATATTGTTTACTTAATCGAGCCTCCTCATTGGGTTTTTAATTAGGGAGCTACCATTTGATTTTTATTGGGGGGGGGGGGGTTAGGATGAAATTTGAAAAAAAATAGGCAGGACAGGAGTTTCGAGTAAAAAAAAAGGCAGGATGAGCAACTTGGTAAAAAAAAAAGGCAGGATGAGCAACTTGGTAATAAAAAAGGCAGGATGACAATTTGTGTAAAAAAAAATCAGGATAAACTAGTAAAAAAAAAAGCAGGACCGAATAGAGTAAAAAATAAAAAGGCAGGACAGAGATTACAACTAAAAAAAAAAGCAGGACAACATTTTTCATCCTAGCCCCCCCCCCCCCCCCCCCCCCCCATAAAAATCAAATGGTAGCTCCCTTATGTGATTACTTGGCCGTTTTAATAGTGATTATTTGATTACCAGACCAAATCTTTCATGATTATTTTGATTATTCGATAATTTAGGACTGTATTCTTGATTATTTGATTATCTTGTTTAAACAATAATTAATGATTATGTGATTATATTGGCAAAAAATTAGTGATTATGTGATCACTTGGACACCCCCATGAGGGGCCTCATACATTAAAAAAAAAACCATTGTGACAATAAAATACAAATATTTCTGAAGGTCTGGGTGAGGTTAACAGTATAGAGAATAATGGGTGTACACGTGACAATGATTTGTACCTCGGTCAATACTACAGAAAATGGGACAAACAATCAAAAAGAGAAAAATAAGCAAAAAATAAAGAACAGAAAAAGCATAGAGAAAAAATTAATGAAAACCGAATTGAAAGACCCCAATGCTGACCCTCATTTCTAAGGTTATTAGTAAGTTAAAATTTCATGAAATTGGTTGATTGAGTTTAAAATATTTTATTTTAAATCTATTGATTTATATTTAAAATATAAGATAGAAAGAGACGAAGAGGAAAAAAAACTATATCCAGGTTAGGGGGTGATATGGTGGCCATTAGGGAGCTACCATTTGATTTTTATGAGGGGAGGGGGCTAGGATGAAAACATTTTGTCCTGCATTTTTTTTTAGTTGTAATCTCTGTCCTGCCTTTTTATTTTTCATTCTATTCAGTCCTGCCTTTTTTTTATTAGTTTATCCTGACTTTTTTTACATAAATTGTCATCGGGCCTTTTTTTCTTTTTTTGCCAAGTTGCTCATCCTGCCTTTTTTTTTCAAATTTCATCTTAGCCCCCCCCCCCCCCCCCCAGCCCCCCCCCATAAAAATCAAATGGTAGCTCTGTTATAAAAATAAGGAGATGTGGTATGATTGCGAATGAGAAAACTATCCACCAAAGTTCAAATGAATGTGTACCCCACCATATTCTCACGGTATGTGTCTGTCCCAAGTCTGGAACCTGTAAATTAGAAGTTGTCGTTTGTTCATATTTGTTTTTCGTTTTATGTTTTGCACATAAATCAGGTCATTGTTTTTCTCGTTTTGAAATGTATAACATTTGTCATTCCAGGGCCTTTTAAAGCTTTCTATGTGGTATGGCCTTTGTTCATTGTTAAAGGCTGTGTGGTGACCTAGAGTTGTTCATTTTTATTTTATTTGGTCTCTGGTGTACAGTGGACAGTAGTCACATTGGAAATTATACCGCATCCTCTTACATGTTTATAATTAATGCTGCCTGTCTACCAGAGAGGCGAAAGTTACTAAAGGAATATTCAAACTCATTTAAGGGAGCTACCATTTGATTTTTATGGGATGGGGGGGCTAGGATGAAAAATTTGTCCTGCCTTTTTTTTTAGTTGTAATCTCTGTCCTGCCTTTTTATTTTCACTCTATTCGGTCCTGCCTTTTTTTTATTAGTTTATCCTGACTTTTTTTTACATAAATTGTCATCCTGCCTTTTTTTTTTTGCCAAGTTGCTCATCCTGCCTTTTTTTTACTCAAAACTCCTCTCCTGCCTTTTTTTCAAATTTCATCCTAGCCCCCCCCCCCCCAAATAAAAATCAAATGGTAGCTCCCTAAGTTGAAAACAAACCGAGAATACCATGGCAAAAGACGAAAAGACGAAAAGACAAACAACAGTATACAAAACACGACTGAAAACTAGACCGAACAAAACGAACCAGCCAACCAACAACTGAGGGTGCTTTTAGGTGCAGCAGAAAGTATGCAGATCCACATGTAAACGTCTACCTGACGTATAACTCAATTCCCGTTTATTCATATCATTTTTGTTTGTTTGTAGTCACCATATGCTATTTGTAGCGGATTTTCACTGGTCTTGAACTTTTTAGGCTACCTACACGTTCAGTAGTCAAAAATCTATGTAGCCCTATGTATCTGCTACGAAATTGAACGCAACCCTGATAATAATTTAATTTTGGAAGTAACACGTCTTTTGATTGACTGAAAGTTTTTCGTCAATCAGCTCATTGACCTAATTTTGTCATTTGACCGTTATATCATCAGATTGACTTTTGATTTCTATTACATTATTTATTAACAGCAGTTTATAAATTCGTAGATTGCTATTAAGATGACAACGATTTCAATATAACGGCAATAGGCTTTAAGGTGGAATTTTTCTGGTAGGCAACCGGTCAGACACTGTAATCAGCAAAACCAATTAATAATATATAATTCTCAGACTGATCAACATAAAACCCCAAGGGAAATTTAACTTAATTTAATCGATTTGGCTTCCTCTCTGTATTCTTCATTTTTTGAAATTTTTCTCTATTCTTTATACATGACAATTATTCACTATTATTCATTATTTTTAATACCCCCTTTATTCTCTATTCTTTATGTTCCAACTCCCCCATTATATTCTATTCTTTAACTTGCTGGCCCATTTTTCGCTACTCTTCGTTTTTCGGTTTTGTTGGTCCATTTTTCGCTATTCTTCGTTTTTCGGTTGTGTTTGGTCCATTTTTCTCTATCCCTTAAACCTCACCCAGACCAACCTCTACTATTCTTCGTCTTAAAAAAAAATTATCGAACACGATTTTAAAATACAATAGAAAGCTTTTGTTATATAGTTGTTTACCCCTCCTATGGCAACCCGTTTTACTATTTATTTTAACTTCAAGATATCTAATAAACTTAATAAGATATCTCATAAAGTGTATAAGATATATATCTTATATAGTATATAAAAAATTGAAAACAACACGTTTAATAATTACATGCGTCCGAAGCGCTTTTCTGGATTTACCTTCATCAGGAACGCTCAATGCCAAACATTTGAAATACGAGGGATGTATAAGTAACGAAACAGTTGAAGAGCTATATATGACAAAAATACCTAATCCAAATAGCAAATAAGGTATCTTATAAATTATATTTATTAAATACCTTATAAAAATGAGAATGGAAACGGGGAATGTGTCAAAGAGACAACAACTCGACCAAAGTGTAGGAAACAGATCAATGCCACCAATGGGTCTACCTCGTTCTTGCGAGAAAATCCGACACCGGAAGGCGGGCATTGGCTGGCCCCTAACTTGACAAAAATGTATACTGGTTCAGAGAAAATGGACGTCACACTAAACTCCGAAACACAAAAATGTAAAAAAAAAAAAAAAAAAAAAACATACAGGACTAACAAAGGCCAGATGTTCCTGACTTGGGACCGGCGCAAATATACGGATAAGATATCTTATAAAATATATGAGATATCTTATAAAGTATATAAGTCAGGAGCCTCTAGCCTTTGTTAGTCTTGTATTATTTTTAATTTTAGTTTCTTGTGTACAATTTGGAGTTTAGTATGGCGTTCATTATCAATGAACTAGTATATATATTTGTTTAGGGGCCAGCTGAAGGACGCCTCCGGGTGCGGGAATTTCTCGCTGCATTGAAGACCTGTTGGTGACCCTCTGCTGTTGTCTGTTCTATGGTTGGGTTGTTGTCTCTTTGACACATTCCCCATTTCCATTCTCAATTTTATAATATATCGTATAAAGTATATAAGATATCTTACATGAAAAATATTTATAAGATATCTTGCATAAAAAAAATATTTATAAGATATATTATAAACTTTAGAACATATCTTAATTATAAATTATATAAAATATCTACTAAACTATATGAGATATCTTATATGATATATAAGATATCTCTTATAATATATATATATCTAAATATTGTTTTATTAAAGTGCAACCTGATATAACATAATAATACACATATGAAACATATTTTATGTCAGCCAGCCTTCATAGGCTTATGATGCACTGTACTTCTAAAGTTCTCATAGTTATCTTTTATAAGTATCAAATATCAATTTAACAATGAACAATAAATAAGAAGTTATTTTTTTTTTCTCATTAATATTTGTGTTGTTATATTAGAAATGTTAGTGATAAATTTTGACACTATTTTAACACCGGCACTAAGTAAAAATCTAAATTTATCCATATCAGACATGTTATCAAAATTTCAGTTAAATCTCTGTTGACAGTCCATAAACATGCGATTTCTCTGTAATGAATAGACAGGGAAATGTAATAAAAAGTGTTTTTCGTCTTCTACGCGGTCCCAGTTCCCCAAACGTTACAAAGTCGTCTATCAGCTGGGACGCCCCAGTACCTCCCTTTCTCGATTTCAAGGGGGAAAACACCACATCTCAGTCTTATCCTCTAAAAAACTAAATACAAGTTTACAGAGAAACATACAATATAAATACAGATACAATAAAAGAAGAAGAATGTACTTCACTTGCAAATTGTTTTTATCTTTATAAATAAAATAATGTGTTAAATCATACGTGTTAAACTGTT